TCAAAAGAGCCAGTAGAATACTGCTTTGGGTTTTTATTTGACAAAGTATTTAAGATATCTCTTGAAAATTCCATGATGAAAAAAACGCGTTAATACGTGTTATACTTGTCTCCTCAATTATCGGCTAAAAGATTTAACAATTCGATCAAAACCGATCATCGAATCGCAATGATCAACTATTGATCGTCATGAAGTCTAATTTTATTGGTCAGAAATTTGGTGTAACCCGTTCAAACAAGCCCTATTGTCTTACTTGCTTCACTTCAAGCAATAAGTTCAAATTTGCGATCGTAGCATAGTAACTCCATCATGTGAGACCGATCACCTGAAATGCGCAGAAGATATCGGAAAAATTCTTGCCGAAAATAGGGACTGTTCAACATTCAAGATTGATATCATGTGACCATGAGTTAATTTTCGAGTACAAACTCGTGCTGAGCTGATTCTTAAGAGGTTGAGTCACCCGATTTCGTATTTTTACGCTTTTTTCAGAACTTATTCTGCTTTTCGATTTCAGTCATGGCAAAAACCTGGAATTCGTACTTTGATGAGACTGACATCGAGGACTGGGGCTCTATTCCTTTTCATGAGTCCTGGGCCCATAATTATAAAAATGATTACGAAAAGCTTTCTTATGACAAAGCAACAGACTCATTCTTCAAAAGCCTTCGAGCAATAGCGAATAAAAGTACAGACATTGAAAAAGTCAGAAAAGCCGTCTTTTTGATGGCTCAGGTTAGTATACATGTACCTCATTTTTATATGCGCTGTAGCAAAAGAGCCTAGGAAACTTTTAGTACCTCTGACGATCTTATAGTTCGCACTGTCTTCTGGACTAGGAATACACTTTTAGATTGTAGTCTGACGATCATTTAGATCGCGCTGTCTTTTGGGACTAGGAGTACACTTTTAGATAGTACTCTGATGATCTTTTTGATCACTGTCTTTTGGACTAGGAGTACGCTTTTAGATTGTCTCTGACGATCATTTAGATCGCGCTGTCTTTTGGGACTAGGAGTACACTTTTAGATGGTACTCTGACAACCTTTTAGGTTGCATCTTTTGGATTAAGGGGGTTAGACGCTACAGTGCTATATGTGATAATTATGATAATTATGATAAATTATTAGATCGAACTAACCATTTTTTTGAGCTCAGAAGAAAGAAAATAAAGATTATCTTAGGAAATACTGGGACCTTGTGCGTAGCGATTATAATGAAAGAGAAAAAAACTAGAATTCATTGTACGGATAATGTATTTTATGTGATGGAGAAGTGCAGATTGGTTCCGGTAATAATATTACTCACAAACGATCTTTTGAACAACCGGAGGAAAACCAAGCTAAGAAGAGAAAAATGACCGATTTGGAATCTGAAGGTAATAAACTCCCTGATGATGCTAGAAAGTGGTCACCAGATCACGTTAAAAAGTTCCTTGAGTCTCGCATGAATGGTTCGGATTTCAACAATGATGATATTAAGAAAATTCGAAAGCAAGATCTTACCGGTAAAGCTTTTTTCCGCTTAACTGAAGAGAAACTTACTCGCATACCTGGACTATATGAACTTAAACCTAGCCCTGCAGAGGAAATAATGGAGTTAATTGAGGAGCTCAAGGAAAAATTAGGTGAGTAACTACAATGATAAGGATTATACGGAGGAAGGGTCTTCATTACACTTTTTGGTCTTATTCGTACTATTTTTCCTACTTTTCAAGTAAAGGAAGAGGCCTCCCCCGCATTCGTATCCGCCACAGAATTTAAAAAATTCCGTGAACAAAATAAAAAAGAATTAGAACAGATTCGTTCTGACATCTATACAATCAACTCCAAAATCAAAATAGTTGAAATAGGTTTTTATTGTCATAATAGATTTTTTTTTTTTAGAGCTAGTTTTTAGATGATTTTATATCGATTTACATTATATGAAAAAGTTGAGATGATCGATGCTATTTTATAAAAATAAAACTGATTATAATGCGTTATGCTACTGCACCTGAGACACTGTAGTCCCACTTTTACTTAGCACATTGATATCTATTATTTGTTTTCCCACATCTTTTTAAATCACGTATGCTTACACGTGCAATGTATTCGTTGTTGTAAAAAATATAATTTACATATTCCTCCATCAAAGACTTAATTTTTGATTTTTTTCTGGCTTCGAGCATATATGGGATGCTTTATGAAAAAGGACAGAGAGATCCTTTTTAATAGCATTGGTAAAGAAAAAATAGCCCAGATTAGATCTATTCCCCCATCATTCATCTTAATCTAACTAAGGATGAAAAGGATTATGTAATGGCCGAAATCTTAAAACGAAAGGTTTGTTAATATACTGCGTCATTACTTCTGCGCAATTAAGTCATCTAACCTGACGCTGATCCCATGCTTACATCAGGTTTCAGGAGATCGAATGTTGATCCTGCTTTTGCGCAATTTTGACAAGCTTGTCCAGACTCTGCCATAATTATTTCTTGTAGATCATGCTTCTATTGGTTGGAAGTGTGAAGAGTCTTCACGCTTATCACCTGATACCTGAATTCCGAGATCAGGACACAATGTCCTCTTCGCACTTTTTTTATATATAGTATTGTAAAGCGTGATTATCATTACGCATATAATAAAGCAATCTATTCTTTTACCCACATCTGGACTAGTGTTTATTAACATATGTGATAGTGCGCCCAAAAAATAAATGTGATGCCATGTATAGTTAGATTAACTTTATTCTCAAAGAAGAAAAGGGCTTATCATCTCGTGATGTGAGTTCTGACATCGCACAACTCTAATCTTAATTCGATCAACACTCCCTTGAAGCAAAATCACGGAATGGATATCTGCATAACATGTGACTTTAAAACCGGGATTGAATCGCGGTTTGAGCATTTAGCTTTTTTGGTTGACCAGCCAATTTACAATAAAAGTACTTTCATTTTTTATTTTCAAGTAGTATTACAATGCACTTACACATGAAAAATACAAAAATTGCTAAACGCTATTCTATACTAACATAAAAAAATCTTATTCCTGTTGTTGTTCATTTGACCTTTCAACAGCGTAATTAATGGTTACATTGATTACATTAGCACTTTGTGAAAACAAAGGGAGAGTAGGTGTGACTGGCCTAGAGATCGCAGATGTTTCAATAGATGGTGTTACCGGTCTTGATGGAACAGGTGTATTTATGATGGTTTTAGATGATGATGAAGAGGTTGCTTTGCTTAACCTCCTAACGCTCTCATTATGTGCTCGTTCGAATGGAAGATCTAGTAGAATTAAAATATATCAATATTAATAAAGTTCACTGGCAACTGATAAGCATCAAATTCTCAAAAGTGTAGTTACCAGGTTTCAACCAAAATTCGCTAGAGAACTCCTCATAGATTTCCTCTCCTATTAAACTCCTTTTTTTCCCACCCTTTCTATATTTTACAGCTGTCTAATAAATAATGAAAATAAGAATATTATCGGCCAAATTCTTTGTAGAGCTAAGCAAGAGTTACTTACTTTATAGGCCTTCTTGAGATTATTGAATTTCTTTTGACAGTCCTCACTAATGAAATAATTTGTATTCTCTTGCTTGTTTAACTTCCTAGCGATATCTTCTCAAAAGAGACGTTTCTTTTTATTTGTCATGAATTGAAATTCAGAATTTCTTTCTTTTCTTTCATTTATAAGGAAGCAAACCTAGGTACCATTCCATCCGTCAGAAGACATCTTACATGGTGAAAAATCAGTGTGAAGGGTGGGGTTGTTTTATGGAAAAAAATCAAGTGATATATTAGAGATATTTGAGATGATTAATCAAATAATAACGGTGGCTTAGATGCTACACAGAATCTGATTAGCTGATAATTCGTTATTTTAGCGGGCCCACTATGGGAAACTATTAAAAAATAATGATTCTCTAAGAAAATTCATTATTTTGGCGGAACAACTATGTATAATTTTGAGAATTGTGATTTGAGAAACATCTCAGTATCATGATAGTTCCTGAAGAGTGTCATGAAACTGGCAGGGAGCCAGAGTGGATTCCTATGATATGATATACGTCATAGATCTGAGAATAATATTATCTTGGAACTAATTTAACTGAATTATGACATATCAGGAGATCTACAAACTGATTTACATGCATGTGAATATGTACAATACCTTCGGCTAAATCCTGATATGCTTGAACTCGAATAAAAATGAATCTGATATTTTATTATAATATACTTCTACAAATTGCTATAATGATAAATAATCACAAATAACTCACTGAAATCACTACAAATCGATAATTGCTATAAACTATTAAATATGTCAGGAACTCATATTAACAGAACAAGGCCTAATAAGTATATTAACATTATTTTAGATAAGAATTATAATAAAATTGCCTAAGCCGATTAATAATCATCCTGGATTTGATATAAATTATCTTAGAGCATATGTTATAAATTACAGTTCTTATTATGCTAATCAATTCGAAAAGATTCTTGAGGTCGAAAAATGATATGATGATTTATCTGTCATTAGATCTTATGAAACTCTTTAGCAATAGGCTATTTGTGTAAAATATGCTTTGCAAGCATTGATTACTGAAGGTCATGAAAGCTATTATCATGTATTCTGCCTTTTCGGATCATCTGAGCAAGGAGTAACCAAGACATACTATGATAACTACGAAGGGAGAGAAGTTGCCATTGATTATCACAGTCCTAATATTCACAATAGCAAAATGGCTATTTGCTTCAATAGTTGGAAATTAGTAGAGATCACTGATGTAAAACCAAAAAAGTCATATTTCAGTGGATAGCGGAGATATGGGTATGAGATTAAGCCTGAAAACTTGATGAAACATCATTAGGATAACTCATGTTTCAAGACTAATAAACATATAGAAGCTCATCTTCTCGCAAGCTTGAAGTCAGAAATATTACGTAAAAAATCTTTTGACTGGAGAGGAGTATTATATTCTGAAAAAAATATATCTGATTCCCTTCCACAGCTTGATAAAACAAGTGGAAGCGAAATATTTATCTCATCTATATATGTAAAATAAAATAACTTAAAACATCTTAATCAGCCAAAAGGTATCACGTTAAGATTGAAAGATGGAACAAAAGTCACGATCATTTAACTAGTTTAACTAATATAATTTATTTTTTACACTACATAATTTGTATGGATGATCGCCTGTGAAAAATTGGCCAAAAACGCTATGCATGATCTGCCTATTTTGGGTTAGATCCTCTAATATGTAACTATTTTAATAAAGTATTTTTGAGAAAAAGAGGAATTCGTTCAATGAAGCAATCATGAAGATTCTTGATTTCTAAATACCATAATTATAGTTTTGAAAATTTCTATGTAACAGTTATCTAGCGAGCTTACAAAAATTATAAGAAAAGACCCGTAACTTTGGCAAAACAAGTTTGGGAAGTAGTGAAGAATGATGGTACTCCTGATAGGTGAAAGTATTTAGGTATTATTTCTTGTGATAAAGCTTATTATTATATTAATGGAAAATTTATAAAATTTAACTGAAAAAGTGATTATTTTAATATGCTATATAATAATATCTTTATTCTCCTATAACTTGGGCAGAAGAGAAAAAAAATCAATTATTATACTGATTAGGTTGGATGCTCTTTTATTGTGCTAGAAAAATATTACAATAAAAAGGTTATATACCAAAGTGGTATATCATGATAAAATGGACACAAAATCCCGAATATTATCTTAATACTGAAAAAATTCAGTCAGTATACTAGTAGTCAGAATGGAAATGTTAGTGCAACTCGATTTGTATATTAATATCCCGCCTAACAGTAATTGGTAGTATAGAGATAAAGCATTCCGAGAGCATCTGAGCCAGCTCAAAATATTTCCTAATACTATATCTAGTATTATTTTATAAATATAACAGGAAAAAAATCATCTATAGATTTTTTAAAATACGATTGAAGTGATACATAAATAAAAAATAGTTCTATATAAGAAAATGTATTATATTAGCTTTATATTGTGAACGAATAAAATATGATAGGACCTACGTGGCGCAGATGATTGACAAATCTGACAGATCTGACAAATCTAACATATCCGACATTTCTGACATGTCTGACATATATGACATATCTGACAT